GAAAGAAGGAAAAACAATCAAAAAGACCAAACGAACAGGTAACATAGTTTGCTGATCTCGCCACATAGGAACAGCTCTGAGACCGACTGTGTGTGCATCTATGTGCACAAAAGCGTGTGTGTGTGTGTGTATGTGTGTGTGTGTGTGTGTGTGTGTAGGAATGCATGTAGAAGTAAAAGAACAACGTATAGAATCAGTTATCCCTTTCTAACTTTATGTGGAGTTGAGGGTGGAACTCAGGTTACCAGACTTGTACAGCAAGTGCTCTTACTTGCTGAGCCATCTCAGAAGCCCTTAAATGAGTTTATAGTTCTTTAAATGGTTTATACCATGTGCAGCTGCCCTTCCTATAATTCAATTAGAGTTTTTAATAACTTTAGGATTATTTAAATTGGAGATACCGCCAAGCCCACAGAAGAAATTCATCCTTACAACTCTGTTCCTCTAGAATGATTCCTACTGTGACAGTCTTTATTTGTCAAGGATCACTAGAAAATCAAAGCCAATAGAATGAATATATATCATAAAGTGGAATTTATCAGATTGCCTTACACAATATGGTACACTATGAGGATACTCATCTGCACCTGGGAGAGGCTTATAACCCACAGCTGCTCAGTCCACAAGACTGGTTGCTTCAGCAGTCTTAATCTGGTGCTGAAGATCTGGAAAAGTTCTAGAGAGCTGGCTGAAAGACTGAAGAAGCTGGGTTCTGGTTCCAGGAAAAGATGATGGAGACAGCATCATCATCATCGTCATCATCATCACCGACAGCAGCAGCAGCAGCTCCTGCCCCCTCAACAATAGTCACATTCATCAGGAAGAAGAGAAGATTAGCAGCACTGCTTTATTCTTAGATCTTTTACTTCTGGCTCTACCTGCTTCAGAGGAGGGTTTTCCTATCGATTTTTTTTCTGGAAATACACTCAAAGACCCAAATCCAGTTACAGTCAAGTTGAAGACAAAATCTAACTGTCATATTCATCTTCCTAGTGTGGGGGAGCCTTCTCAAAAACTGTTCAACATGGCTATTTACACCATAGGCAAAGAAGCTATTATCAGATAGGACCTATTTTACCTGCAGAATTTGAGGGTAAAGGCCTGAACTGACTTGCAAAGGGTAATGTATTTACTGAACAGTTATCAGGTGTGTGCATTTTCTTATGTTTTATCTGAATAGGAAGGAGTAGGAGAACCCAGTCCCTCAGAGCAGGGAGGACTGTTAGTAGAGCAGGAATACGCCTATCCCCTCTGCCACCCGAGACAAAACTGATCTCTGTCACATTGTGTGGGTCACACAGTAACTGAGCCCGACTGCTTTTCTAGAGAGTGACTAAGTCCCATATGTCTCTATGCTGGTTAAGTTCTGTCACCTTGACATAGCTAGAGTTACCTGGAAAGAGAGAACCTCAATTGAGGAATTGCTTCCATCAGATTGGCCTGCAGGACATTTGCTTTATTAATAACTCATGTGGGAAGGCAGTCCTGGGCTGTATAAGAAAGCAAAGTGAGCAAGCCTTGGAGAGCAACCCACTAACCAGCTTTCCTCCATGTTTCCCATCTGATGTTGCATGAGTTCCTGTGCTGGCTCCCTCAGTCATGGGCTGTGGTAAACTTTTTCCTTCACAACATGGTTTTGTCAATGTTCGCTGAAGCAATAGAAAGGAAAGTGAACACTTTCTTTCCCCAGAAAAAGAGTGACTGCTGTCATATCTCATATGCCTAACTTCCCTACCTTGGTCACTACAATTTACATATTAACCAAGCCTATTTACAGTGGTAAAATATTTACTCTTCTCTTGAAAACTGTTAAAAGTAGACACCTTGCTTTGTCTGTTGGGCATAAAACTCTTCTTCACATCCCCTGGTATACTGTTGAATGGCAATAAACCTCTTGCCTAAAAGACAGATTATCTATCTATCTATCTATCTATCTATCTATCTATCTATCTATCTAATCTCTTAAACTCCTTTTCCTCTCCCTCCCTAAAACCTAATTGTAGGCAAAGGAAAATATAAACAGTAATTAATTCTCTAACAGACTAGTTAAATAATTAGGTGGTTTTTTGAACCAGTGCAGACATCCGTTTTCCTCCATTTAGCCTTATTTTCTATTCAGTGTCTTTCCTTTAATCTTTGTCTTACTTGTGGAAAAGGAGAACATGAACTGTCTTATCAAAGTTGCAAAGACAAAATGACAAAATAACCAAGAGGTGGGCAATTAGGTCCTGTTTTTTATTTGTTTGTTTTGTTTTTGTTTTTTTAACCATCTCTTGATTAATAGAAACAGATTGGAAACAGCTGTGGAAAGCTACAGCTACATCTCAATGTCATACATTTTTTTTCACATTCTACATCCAATTCTTCATCAAAATCTATGAGCTCTTCCTTCAAATAGTATCTTAAATCTAACCAATGTTCATCATCTCTACCACCTCTTTTAATTCTTTTATAAGCTGCCTACATACGTCTATTTTTGTTTCCAAACATTTTAATGTCCAAAACACAAATAAAAAAGTACAAATTTTTAAACTAAACTTTGTCACTATCCCATTCAAAATCTTCATTAGCTTCCTGTTCTCACAAGGTACCCAAGCTCTGACTCCTACTTAAACTTTGCACACTGAAGATGCTGAAAAGAGGACTTCTTTCTCTTTTCTTGAGAGTCAGTGAGGAAATGGATATCCTAAAGGGAGCAACTAACTTTCTTCCCTGAAAATAAAAAAAAAAAAAGAGAGAGGATGAGTTGGGGTCAGTAATGATGGAGTAAGATAACAAGGCCTTTCAGGTTTTCGTATGGATGGCATGGGCGTGCCTTAGTGCATGAATCTGCTTGTGTTGCAGCAGACGGACTCTTCCAGCTGGGAACCTTAACACTCATTGAACTAGAAAGATGGCTTAGCAGGTAAAAATCACTTGCCATCAAGCCTGATGACCTGAGTTTAGTCAACAGCATCCATATGGTGGCAAGAGGTGAAATCTTTGAGTCCCCCTACCTTCCAGTCATATTCAAGGGTCAAGCCTATGTGAGAAAAGAGAGCCAAGGTTTACAGCCTAGCATATAAACAATTTAGAGTTTAAACTTGTCGGTCTAATCTTCATAGCTAGAAAAAAAATTACAAAATCAGTAATTCCCCTCAGGCTCATTAGGGAATTTATATCACAGAGCAGACTGACATCCGATAAACTAATAGGCTTATTCGGATAGATAGAAACTCATGACTTATGTTCCTCAGAATCTAGGAAACGAAGCCAGTTTCATTAAGAACACTGTCTTAGTCTTTTATTGCTATACAAATAAAAGTTTATTTATCTCAAAACTGGACACTGTAAAACACAAGAGTATGGTACCAGCTGTGTTAAATATCTAGGGAGGATTTGCTTGCTCTGTGATGACATAGTAAATGATCTCATCATGCTAGAACAGGTCTCCTTCCTCCTCTTTCTCCATCACTTCCTTCTCTTCCTCCTCTTCCTCCTCCTCCTCTAGTCATTAATAGCTTCATTGTGACCCCACCCTTAGAACTTCATCTAATCCTAAATACATTCCACAAGTGGCCCCACCCAACTTCCAACAGTAAGATTTGAAATTTGAAATTAAGTTTAAAACAGTCTTTTAAAACTATGAAAAACTATAAAATAAACTTCGATGATGACAGGAAAATTAGGATCCTATGAAGCAGCTGGAGAATGAAACTTTCAAAGTGCCTCGGTATCACTGGATAGAGGGGAGAACAGCAAAGTGCCTACTTCTTCAAGGAGCCATACTGTGCTCTCACTGTAAGGATTAAAGCACTGGATGAAAAAGGAATTGTTTTTACTTTCTTGATTTCTTTCTCATTGCCATTTTGATATAAGAAGGCTACTGGGTTTTGGGTGTTAATTTTGCTTCCTGCAATTTTGCAGAAAGTGTTTACTAGCTGTAGGATAGATTTTAAGAACACTTACATGTACTGTCCTGTCATCTGTAAACAATGGTTCTTTGACTTCTTTTCTATTTGTATCCGCTGATCACGTTCAGTTGTCTTATTGTTTTACCTAAGACTTCAAGTACTATATTGAATAGATATGGAAAGAGTGAACAACCTTGCCTTGTTCCTGATTTTAGGGGAATTGTTATGAGATTTTGTTCACTTAGGCTGATGTTGGCTATGGGGTTGCTGTAAATGGTCTTTATTGTATTGAGGTATGTTCCTTTTATCCTTATTCTATGCAGGACTTTTATCATGAAGGGATATTAGAATTGTCCAAGACTTTTTCTGCATCTAATGAGATGATCTTTTGTCTGTTCTCCCCCTCCCCCAGACAAGGTTTTTCTGTGTAGCCTTGGTTGTCCTGGATTTGTAGACCAGGCTGGCCTTGAATTCACAGCCTGCCTCTGACTTCTGAGTGCTGGGATTAAAGGCGTGTGCCACCACGCCCAGCTTGATCTTGTAAATTGTAAATTTTTTTTTAATTTTTTTTATTTTTTGTCTTTCAGTCTGTTTACATGGTGAATTTATAAACTTACATATATTGAACTACCCCTGATTCTCTGGGATGAAGCCTACAAAATATTGAAGGATAAGTTTCTTGATGTGTTCTTGGATTTAGTTTGCAAGTATTTTATTGAGTATGTTTTCATGTATGTCCATAAGAGGAAAGTGTCTGTAATTCTCTTTCTTTGTTGGGACAGCATATAGTTTAGGGTAACTATAGCCTCATAAAAATAATTGGGCATTGTTCCTTCTGTTTCTATTTTGTGAATAATTTGAGAGTATGGTAGGATTCTGTACTAAAACCACATGGCCCTGAGCTTTTTTTTTTTTTTTTTTTTTTTATGAAAAATTTTTATTTTTTTTTTTAATAAACATGGGCCTTTCTTTTTTTTTTTTTTTTTTTTTTTTAATGAAAGACTTTTAATTACTGTTTCTACTTCACTAGGGGTTATAGGTCTATTTAAATTTCTTATCTGATCTTGATTTAACTTTTGTAGGTGGTGCCTATCAGGAAAAACATCCCCTGCCCCTAGAGGTGTTTCAGGTGTGGTTTCTGTGTCTTTTGTGCATTTGTAGATGGGAAGAGGAGAGAGGCTATGTCTACACTCAATGTTCTGACTTATGAACATTTGAATGATTAATAATCCACATTCTCTGAAAAAGAGCAAGCCTGAGACTACCACTGATTTGGATCCAGGGGGCCCAGACAAGGAGCCAGCCTGAGACAAGCACCAGCCTTGTGTTGTGCAGGACTGGACAGGCTCCTAGGGCAGGGAGCAAGCCAGAAACTTGAAGAAATCTGCCTGGGCCCATGGGCCTTGGGCAGGAGTGAGCCTGAGATGACCACCTTGCATGAGGCCACTTCGGTGGGCTAGGTGAGGAGTGAGCTCAGGATGACCACTAGACTGGTGCCATGAGGCCCCTGATAGGGCCTATCCTGAGATAACCACCAGTACGGTGCTGCTCAGGGCTGGGGAGTGGGTCTGACATGCCTGAAATGACCCCTGCTCAGTGCCATAATGCATGAGTGGGGCATAGCACTCCTAAGACCACTCCTGAGACAAACCCAGACACTCAGAGACCCTGGGTGCCACCAAGAGGAACAGATGGAGAAATGGAAGAGAACGAGGAACAGAAAGATGTGGACAATAAAGAAAGGCAGAACTGGAGACTTGAGGGTAGTGAGGAACATCCTGAGGTGAGTAACCAGTGACGTCATCTAGGACCATGGTGGGGTCCTGTCCTGTGCTGCCACAGGGGCCCATGTCTAGGTCATGGCCTTGCAACACAAGGGGTCTGCTACCACCAATGGCCAGGATGATGCCCAAGGACATGTTGATGTCTGAGGGCTGTGCAGAACTGACCCCAAACCTCACATGGGCATCATGAGAGCAGGAGAGAGGACCCTGCTTCTAACTGGCTGTGGCATTAGGGAGAGTAGGCCCTACACCTTGCCTGGGCAGCACAAGTGATTCTGGTGGAGTCAATGGCTCAGGCCCTGAGGGCATGAGCTTCAGAGAGATGGCCCCACCTTTTGTCTGCCATGCTGTGACATGAGCAAGAGAGAGATGCATCCCTTCCCACACCCCATTTTGCTCCTTGCCAGCTACAGCAGGCAGGAGAGCTGTCCTTGTCCCTCACCTGCTGCAGCACTCAGGAGAGCAGGGCCGGCCCCTCACCTGGGCAGCAGGGCAGAGATGGCCCTGGCTGCGGGGGTTGCCAATGAGCCACCCCAAGGGCGTGAGAGTGAGAGAGATAGTGGGCTGAGTAGCTCAAGCCCAGATCCAGGGCTTTGACTTTGCCCAACATCTACCCCATCTATGATCTGCTGGAGTGCATATCGGGGCCAGTCCTACAGATCCAAAACTACAGGACCTCTGTGACACAGGGCAACACTAGGATGTCCTAGAGGAGTCCCAGTGAGGTTCCAGTATTGATATGGTAGCAGAACCCAGATGTCTTGTACCAGACCAACGAATCATTGCAAAAAACACTTTTGCAAGGAACAAAGTTTGGGCAGAAGGGTACACTGTGGGACACACTGTGACACACCACAGCTCCCACCATGAGATTTTCTTTTCTCTGTTGTGGGAGAGGTTGTAAGAGTGGAGGTGGGTAGGAGGGAAAGAGAAGATAAGTACAATTGGGGTGCTTGATGTGAAATTTACAAGGGACCAATGAAAATTAAAAACAAAAACAAAAAAGGAATCGGTTTCTTTTAGATCTTCTGGTTAGATGGAGTATGGCTTTTAAAGGACGTCCTTATGGTATCCTTGGTGTCAGGTGTTGTGTCCCTTTTCATCTCTACTATTGTTAATCTGGATCTTCTCCCTCCAGCTTTTAGTTAATTTGCCTAAGGGTTTGTCAATCTTACTGATTTTCTCTGAGTACCAAGTCGTTGTTTCATTGTTTCTTTATAATGATTTTGTTTGTTTGTTTCTATATCATTGATTTCATCACTAACTTTTATTATATTTTGCTGTCTACAGAGAATGTTATTTATAAAGAGCTGATTCCAGTGAGCTGTTAAGTGACTAATAAGAGATCTCTCCATTTTTGTTTAATGTAGCCATGCAACACTATGAACTTGCCTCTTACAGCTGCCTTCATGTGCCCCATATGTTTGAGTATGTTTGAGTATTTTCATTTCAATTCTCTTTTAAAATTTTCTTCTTTCATATATTAGATCTTGGCTGCAGTTTCCTCTCTTTCCATTTCTTCCAGTCCCTCCCTCTACCTCCCTTCTCTCCCAAATCCACTCCTCCATTTTCCTTCAAAAAAAAAAAAAAAAAAAAAAAAAAAAAAAAAAAAGAACAGGCCACTGGAGAGATGGCTCAGAGGTTAAGAGCACTGGTTGTTCTTCCAGAGGTCCTGAGTTCAATTCTCAGCAACCAGATGGTGACTCCCGGCCATCTATAAGGTGATCCAGTGCCCTCTTCTGATGTGGAGACATACATGCAGGCAGAACAGTGTATACTTAAAAAAAAAAAAAAAAAAAAAAAAAACATTTTAAAGTTAAAAAAAAAAAAAAAAAAGAGCAGGCCTCCCACGAATATCAACTGAACATGGCATAACAAGTTACAATAAGACTGGGCACAAACCCTCAGATCAAGGCTGTATGAGGCAACCCAGTAGGAAGAAAAGAGTCCAAAGTTCAGGCAAAAGTCAGACACCCCCCTCCCTCTCCACTGCTGGGAGTCCCACAAGAACAGCAAGCTACACTGCCATAACCTACATGCAGAGGACCTAGTTCAGACCTGTATAGGAGGTCTGTGTATGTTCCTTCAGTCTCTGTGAACCACTATGAGCCCTGCTTGACTGACTGTGTTCTGTGCTCTGGTGGTCCTATAATCTTCTCTTCTGTGGGATTTGCCTAGCTCTGCCTAACATTTGGCTGTGGGTCTCTACAATTGCTCCCATCAGTTGCTAGATGACTCCTCTCTGATGACGACTGGGCTAGGCACTGATCTATGAGTATAGCAGAATATACTTTTTTTGCCAGTCTTGCTTGGTTCTATCTGGTCACTGGGGTGTCCTTCCTCTGGTTGCTGGCTATCCAGGCATAGTGAGGCACTGGCTGCCTCTCATGGCATAGGTCTCAAGTCATTAGTTGGACACTTTCACAAGTTCTGCCACCATTACCCCAGCCCATCCTACAGGCAGGACAGATTGTAAACTGAAGGTTTTGTGACTGTATTGATTGATGTCTCAGGCCCACTGCTAGGAGTTCTGCATGCTTATTAAAGATGGCCAGTTTGGGCTCCATAGCTGCCATTACTAGTAGATGTCACTGAGGTCACTTTCATAGATTCCAAAAAGTTTCCATTGTACTAGGTTCCTGTATCAGCCCCCAGATGATCCCAATTCCAGTCATATCTCCCAGTAATCTCTCCCTCCACCCCTTTTACGCCCTTCCTGATCCCTTCTGTCCCATCCTCCAAAACTCCCAGGCTACATGCAAAATCTATTTTATTTCCTCTTTCCAGGGAGATCCACGTGTCCCTCCCTTGAGCTCTCCTTGTTATTTAACTTTTCTGGGTATGTGGAGTGCAGCATGATTTAACAGCTAATATTCGCTTAAAAGTGAGTACATACCATGTTTGTCTTTCTGCATCTGGGTTACCTCACTCAGGATGATTTTTTTTTTCTAGTTCCAATCATTAGCCTGCAAATTTCATGATGTAATTGTTTTTAAAGATGCATTGCGTAACTACGTCACATTTTCTCTATAACCTTTTCAGTTGAAGGACATCTAGGATGTTTTCAGTTTCGGCTATTAATAAAGCTACTATAAACATAGTTGAACAAGTATTCTTGTGGTATGGTGGAACATCCTGTTGGTATATGCCTAAGAGAATTATTGCTGGGTTTTGAGATAGATTGATTCCCAATTTTCTGAGGAATCTCCTTATTGATTTCTACAGCAGCTGTACAAGTTCGCACTCCCACCAGCAATGGAGAAGTGCTCCCTTTGCTCCACACCCTCAGCAGCATGTGCTGTCACTTGTGTTATTGATCTTAGCCATTCTGACAAGTGTAAAATTGAATCTCAAAGTTGTTTTGATTTGCATTTTCCCAGAGAATAATGATGTTGAACATTTCTGTGTTTCTCAGGCATCTGAGATTCCTCTATAGAGAATTCTGTTTAGATCTATTTTCATGTGGTTTATGTGTTGATGTCTAGTTTCTTGAGTTCCTTATACATTTTGGATATTAGCCCTCTATTGGATGTGAAGTTGGTAGAAATCTTTTCCCATTTTGTAGGCTGCTGTCTTGTCCTATTGATAGTGTCCTTTGCATTACAGAAGTTTTCAGTTTCATGAGGTCCCATTTATTAATTATTGATCTTAGAGCCTGAGCTGTTGGTGCTCTGTTCAGGAAGTTGTCTAGATATCAAGAAAGTGGACAACCTTGTCTTGTTCCTGATTTTAGTGGGATTGCTTTGAATTTATCTCCATTTAATTTGATGTTTACTGTCAGCATGCTATGAATTGCCTTTATTAGGTTTAGATATGCCCTTTTTATCCCTAATCTCTCTGTTTTGGTTAGGGTTTTATTGCTGTGAAGAGACACCAGGACCACTGAATCTCTTACAAAGAAAAAATATTTAATTGGAGCTGGCTTATGATTTAGAGTTTTGGTCCATTGTTGTCATGGCAGAAGGCTTGGTGGCATGGACACAAACAGTGCTGGAGAGGTAGTTGAGAGTTATATATTTGGATCCACAGGCAGCAAGAAGAAAATGAGCACACTAGCCCTGGCTTTAGCTTTGAGACCTCAAAGATCAGCCCCAGAGACACTTTCTCCAAAAACAAATACTATACCTACTCCAACATGGCCATACTTCCTAATAGTGTCAGTGCTGATAGCAATATGAGGCCATTTTCGTTCAAACTACCACAATCTAAATGGTCTGTGACTTTTCTTGATAATATCTTTTAATATTTTTCTCAGACAAATTCTTTATTTTATGGTTTATTTCTTAGATTGGAGGAATGTTAATATGTGTTTTCCATTGCTGCAAAAAATCATGCCCCCATAAATTCATGGCCATGTTCGCCACATATGGCTTTAATTTTTCTATTTGTCCTTTTGGTGGCTCTATACATTTGATCCATGTTGCAATTTATTTTACCTGAGATAAAGTTTCAG